TATCTGGTACGTCTTCACCCACTGATCTAGCATACTATCACTAATGATACATTACCCTGTCAATATTGTTCTCCTGATAAGTGGTCCATGTTGCTGAGTTCCATGTATCTATCTGGTACGTCTTCACCCACTGGTCTGCTATGCTATTTCCCTGTGTCGCCACAGCACAAATAAGATGAGATGTTCCCAAGTCAATCTGTAGATATGGATCAGAGTCGCTTGTAGAGGCACACCACGATGAGCCTGATGTGTAATGTAGTCTAGCATTCTTGACTAGATGTACATCAGATGAAGCTGTTATATTGCCATATTGAATAGCTCCTGATTCCATGCCAAGAGGAGAGTTCTCGCAAGCTACGAAGTGAGAAAAGAAGGGAAGGAGTCTATATAGCTAAGGTCGGTTAAACAAGGATCGGTAGTGATCGGTATTGAAGACCCTGATTTGCATATATTTTGGATGTGACTACCAGATTACATCGCCCATGTTGGCCTAGGCATTCAAAGAGTGTGGCTGGTTTTAGCCGTTTTAACTCTTTTTTTTCTTTTTTTTTATCTCTCATGCACTCGAGTGTATTACTGCCAAATAATTGCGATCAATCTAAAGATATAATCAGACTTAATGTATAGCAACTACGTTTGGTTTATAGAACGCTGTTGTGGATATTTATATTTAAAATAAAACACGATGCTGTCGAGGACGATCACACCACGTGTTCACCCTGCAACGGTTAAAATTGTTTCTACTATCTACAGGTAGTGTCACATGGGTTCCTCCTGACGAGCAAAGTCTCACTGTATGCCTGCGCCTTAGGCCCCGTCCACACGTATCCGGATATTTTTGAATTCGCAACTCGTTTTTGTTGCGGATTGGCCTTCCGTCTACACGTATCTGGCGAATACGGTAGACGAATTCGCAACTTTTTGAATACGGTCTCCAGAGTGGAAATTTTTTTAATACGGTGTGAATCCGGGGTCGTGTGGACGATTGAATTCGTATATTTTTGAATACGCTGACGTAAACAAACGGAAATGGCGCCAATCTTTAGCTCATGGTCATGCTCAAGTGCGCATGCTCTGTTTACCTAWGATTTTGATATCCGGATACGTATCGGATAAATGTGAGCGGTCTAAAACGATTCGAATACGCTACGTGTGATCGCGAATTTTTTAAAATCCGCAACAAAAAAGTTGCGTTGCGGATTCAAAAATATCCGGATACATGTGGACGAGGCCTTAATAAAATTTATCAGTCGATGTATATTTATCATTTTGATTTATAAAGGGTTTTACCTTTTAAGTATCCATAGACCCCTACTCTCATTGTTTTCCAGGATTGGTACGTTGTAGGTATGAATCTGATACATCTCGTCAAGGGTTGAGAAAGGAAGTGTTTTTTGATGGTTCTTCTGTCGGTGTTTCCAGCAAAAAACTAAAATATGAAATCATAAAAATGATAAATTCACTGTTAACATCACAACAAAAACTCATCATGTTGGTTACATTTTTTAAGTTGTGTTAAAGATAGCTATTTCAAAAAGACGGATTATACAAATACGGACAACAACGACTTCTTGTAGAAAAATATCGAGTATTTTCCAACTTCATTCTTAGGTCTTCACATCGTAGCGCAAAAAATACCATATTTTTTCTCTTCTAGGCGAGTTAATAGCAAAATGTACTTTAGATGTGTACTAAGAATATATTTCTTGCAAGAAAAGGGGATTTTCATCATTATTTAGTGCGCTAACGTACCTTTTATCACCAAAAAAATATCCGAATCCACCATTTTTTTTTGCATTCTCGCATAGCTAATATCCTGTAAAATGCCAGCCACAATGGCCGATTTGATCACGTGACCTCTTAGTGCACGTCGCCTATTGATTTTTATTTCTTACCTTTAGTGCCCCGTTCTCTTGGTAAGGCTTCCATTTTATATTATCCATGGACAGACTTATCTTGTACTGTGTCACCCACTCATCACCAGCACTGCTACCCTGTGTTGCTACAGCACAGATGACGTAAGGAAGTCCAAAGTCAATCTGTAGATAGTCATTTGGATCTGAATTTGTCTTTGCAGCCCATCCTCTTAAGTCACTGTTAAGTCTAGCGTGGTATGGATAGTGAGTGTTGTAGTATTGCGAAGTTGCTGTAAAACTGCTGTCAGGTATGATATATCTGTTCTCTACACCAATCAATCTGTCAGCACAGTTATTATCTTCAAAGGAAGAAAAGGTCTTTTGTAAGTTAACTTGGTCAGTAACCACTAGGCGCATTAGGCAACGAACAAGGCACAACACAATCTTTGTCACGCTAATATCGCAATGTGCTTTTAATGGAAATATTTTTTACTAGTTACTGGGTTGCCTGTGGCAGCCCAGTCGTAAAATGCCTTTGTTTTTTTTACTGGGATACCTTTGGTATCACAGTCGTAAAATGCCTTTGTTTTTTTGTTTGTTTGTTTTTTTTTTGTATTTTTTTTTTTCCTCCGCGACAAAATGACAAACTTGCGCAATATTACCCAGGGGTCTTCAGGAACTTACCCAAGAGACCTTTGCCGGCATCTGCTATGTGGTTCACATTAATTCATAGTCCAATCAATTATCATGTACCAGATGTCAATCAATGTCATTATGTTGTCAAGTGATTATGAGAGGGCGGAGCTAGCAGATCACGTGGCAGAGGTTTGTGCCTATGCATGCTCTATTTCGTTGACTGCTGTAATTCAAGACAGCCGAACTCAAATATCAATTTATCAATTTCGTAAACAAGGATTTCAAGCCGAGAAGATAGTGATAATTTCGAAGCGATTATTTCTAAGAATTATCAATAAACTTCATAGGCAATAGCTTGTCTTGGTTAACTCTTCATGATTTATCTACTCGAGCAGTATTTTCCAATGCACGAACAAGCGAAGATCGATAAGGAGAACAGGGTTTCAAGTGTCAGAATTACGATCTATATTTATGTATTTATATTAACTATTTTGGCTTCAAAGTCTACTCACAAAGGAACATGAGGTACATAGCAATATTTATTTTAAAATTCTATTTGATTTAAGAAGCAAAATAAATAATTCGCTACGAACATTCCAGGGTTTGATCTTTGCCGTTCGCGGGCGTTATGATCTCCTTTAATTTTTCTTCAAAAAAAATGTAAAGCAATTATGAGAGAGGTTTTGAGCAAATATTAGCCTGTATTTACGTTTTAAATGAAGCATTTTGATTTTAAAGCGAGCCGTGCAAATGCCATGCTTTTGAAACGTGGTTGCATAACAAGCTAATTACGTATGCCAAAATCCGGACCGGAACTGGAATTGGAGTTTGAAATTGAGTTGTTAATTATTCGATGACTTTGATGAGTATGGCATAAACGCTCTGCCTACAAACGGCTTTCAACACTGTCGTTCGAAATTTTGCAACTTATTTTTACTTCTTCTTTAGATTTTTAGAGACTCTGGTATAATACTAGTAAACCGTCCCAACCAGGGTCTGATTAATCATTACTTGGATCGAGACTTCACGACAAACTTGTGAAATAGATGCCGACAAAGATCTTGCTACAAATGTAAATATATTTTCTTAAGGGGGTCAAAATTTCATTTTTTAGCGAGCGAAACTTGTAAGTATAAACTCCTTGAGATTTCTAACACAAACAGAGGTCCATTCAACTGAACAATATTTGTACTCGTGTTCCCAGTTTGATCGAAATCTCCCGGAGGGGTGTTCCGCTGGAATTCTGAAAGAGGTACCCTGTTTATGACAAAAAATCCTCAAATTTATAGACCCTGTTTATGACAAAAGAAATAATTAATTGCATTGATTCCTGTTTCACTTATTATGCCAGCTCGCATATTGTTTTGTTTGTTTTGACGACCATGATAACCAGTTTCGGTCAATACGAAAGTAGAAACCCTGAATATGACAGGAAACTTAGGAAGAACTTGGAACTTGAGTGAAATTGCATACCCTGTTTATGACAAGAAGCTCGAAAAACCATACCCTGTTCAGCGGATCATCCCCGTATAGTCCATATATGGGAGTACCCCTCCCGGGCAAAATCTACAGCCGTGTGGAGGTTTGTTTTGATTTTTCTTTCTGAGAAAGTGTTTACAAATAAATATCTGTATAGTTTTACTGTACATTGCTGATCGACTCAATTCCAAACGCCCACTTATTTATTTCATCAAAAACATCAATAAATCACAACACAGAGACCCCAAAAGTGTAAATGCCTAACATTACTTCTCTAGATGCACACACATTTCAATGTCATGCAATGTCTACTTTATCAGTAGTTTCGGAAGCTCAACCAACATAACTAAATCCTYCTAAAATCAACATGTGAGTTGAGCGTTGTGTGCATAATCTTCATAATCTGTCTGGTGGGTGCGCGTGCGGGGGTGGGGCTCAGGGTGGCGGAGAGCTTGTCTCTCCTTTATTTAGTACATATTCATATACTTATACTTCATTTATAGAGCATTTTTCGCTAATTACGCTGCTTAGGGTCTTTCTTTATAATGCATTTTTGTCATGTTTTGTTGTTTTTCTTGGGAGTTTTTACATAGGGATAACCTCATAACTTCCTTTCAAGTCGCCTATTATTGTGCTTTGTTGTCTTATTTGTATCGCTTTTTGCTAGCCTCTGCTCTTACTTGTATTTTACTATTTGTCAATAATTTATTTGCGATTTGAATAAACTATGTATGTATGTATGTATGTATAGAATATTAAATGTAGTGGTAGTGCGTGAGCGAAAAGTGTCCCCAATTGGTGCGAAAGCGCTAGAACGACTAGACGCTTAAATAAAAGTAATTTTTTTAAATGTTGAAACCAGGTCCTCCAGGTCCTTCGGGTATCCCAATGTACCCTGCCAACAGGGTCTTATTTTTATTTTATTTTTTTTTGTAGTCTCCTTCTCGCGAAATGTGCATTCTTGCGCAAAAGTAATCAGATATGGATTTGAATGAAGTGTTCATAGATAAATGGCTTATAGATTGGCTTAGCAGCTGAGGATGTAGTTCCGGGCTTTAGAAGTAATATAATTGAGCAGTAAAAGAGGACTTTCTAGGATTGTAATTCAGATATTTATTACTCGGGCTTCCGTATGAACCCGAGTCTAAAAATGCAGGCCGTTCTTTGTCGTCGCATTTGGTCGCCAAAATGGGGGTCATGGTCCCAGGCGTTCCTAGCTGAGTCGCTGGGAAATGGGAATGAGAATCTGCGGTTTCCTTGAAGCGACAACAGTCACCGACTCCAAAACGAAAAGCAACTCTAGAAATATGTTTCAGTCTTGAATACTTCTCCAAAGAAGGGTTTGTTAAAGATGCATTTTTAGCCACCAGTTGAGGAAAACATTTTGTTCACAACTTTTACATTATTATATTCATTTTTAAGTAATGAATTCGGAACTTTACAGCACTGAATTGACGACATAAATTTGAATAACTATTTTTGCGGTAGTTGCATTTGTTTTTCTTCACCAGCGATGAAAAAATAGCATTAAGTTATTAGCTTTAAAAAAAAATTGTACATAAAGAGATCTAGGGACATGCCTTATTATGCAATTTCATGCTTGAATCATTTTTTTAAAAACTTTGGTCAATCCTCTTTAATTTATTCCCCCTCTCCCAATTTTTCTTCTCTCTGTGTCGTAAGCGTACACGCAAAAAAACGAGTCTGCAGCTACAGCTTTCTGCTGATGACGTGATGAAAATACAAAAAATAAGATTATAATTTAAGAATAATAATAAAAAATGCACACAAACACACAACCAAAGGTTCGTGTCGTTACACGTAGTCTTGATCAAACATACCATATCAACTTCAAGTAGACATTTATAAGATATCGGTATGTGAGTTTTGTAAGGTCATGTTTTTATAAGATTTCTCAACACATCAAATAGAAATCAAAGGAACACTACAATACGCATATAAAAGACATGACTCAGTAGAACTAAAATCCTAGGAGAAAAAGGACTTATGATCRGTATTTATCTCTGTTAAGACAATTAAGCAAATTGAGGATTAAACGATTAGTAGAAAAAACGTCACGCGAGAAAATATCGTTTAAAGAACCAATTCATCTGACCTGATCAGAGGTCTGTCACAGAAATTGAACAAATAATCATTTACATGTCCCGTAGCTTCAAAAGAGCAAAGCTTTGGTTCTTTATCTAATATATTTTGGATTGATAAGTTACCTGTAAATGATCCTGGTTTGATTTGGTTGAATGTTATCATCACCAAGAGAACGCGGAAATGATAGAATCCATTGCTGATTTGTAAATTCATTTTTGACTCTCTAATTCGGTTCTCAAACAACACTTAATAGAATCGAGAGCAATTGTCGAAATGTCTTATTGCATTTCAGAACTCGATAATCAAGGCAAAATTAATCCCTAGTCCTTTAGAGGATTTAGCTTGGATTCAGTTTAGCATAACTTGGAGAGACAGGGTCATATCAAAATCACTGCGGACAAAAGCCTACGTTTCGATTTCCGGTGTCGTGACCTTCGGTATTTTACGCAAAAACACAACCATTTTGGAGGCTCTTTTGACTACTATTTTACAATAATAATAAATTATAACCTCAATTTACCTCCACAAATGAGTTAAGTGATATCATACCACTTACTGTTAACGGTTTGAAGTCATTGTGATTTGATTTCGGTGGGGCAAATTTTATCTAATTTGGAATAAATTTCCCGCATTTTGATACCAAGATCGGCTATATTAATTGAGTTTTGCGTGGGGCAAATGGCTTCTAAATGTCCATATCTCGTCTGTTTTATTCTCTTGGCTGTCTGTATGACTGTAGCTGCAGTTGGAGAAGATTTTAACGATACAAATRGCAATGCAAACTCTGAATTCGGACAGAATCCAATATCAAATGTCATCAAATGTATGCAATGATTTTGATATGTTTGATTTCAGAACTCGATAATAAAGGCAAAATTAATCCTTAGTCCTTTAGAGGAATGATGTCTAGCTTGGGTTTTAGCATAACTTGGAGAGACAGGATAATTGATGGATTAAATATTAGCATTTAGTGTTTTGTTTTAAGGCCGGATGTGTAAGTTGATAGCCGATGAGATAGTTGAAGATGTTTCAGTATATTGACAAGTCAAACCCTGAAGGATAAGAAAGAGTTCATGGGTCACTAGCAGTGGATATCAGTCATGTTACAGCAGGCATGGCTTTCAGTTTCAATCTTTCTATCATCCTGATAACTAGTACCCTCTCTCTCCCGTATTACTACATCACGTACGATGCAATTAGTAGATAGTTTTAGGTTTACGTTCACGGCAAACATGAAACTTCAGTTGACCAGTGAAAAATTCTTTTAAATGACTAAAAACGAATATCAAAAAAATCCAAGTAGTAGAAAAACAAAAAAAAATTTGTTTATGGAGAGAAAATTTGCTAGAGGTAAAGTAAAATTAAACGATGAAAACGAGGCGCTGAAAAAGTGGTGACGCTTGCCGTTTGCGGGGAGAAAAAAAGTCAGGTCTAAAACTCTCTAGTATTATCTATCGGACTGCGCGGCCTTAAAATGCAAAGAAATTTCCCCCCATGTGCAATTTGTTTAGATATAGCAAGCCGTGATCGTTGAATTCTTCATGTACTATTGCAACGATAACCAAAAAATTGTTGGTTTGCTCATTCAAACCAGTATCGATATCATTACGCAGTTCCATTACGAAAACAGAAAAAGAACAACCAGCTGTTCTAAAAAAATCGAGTGGCCTTTAGAACTTGCGTGTGTCGGGCACATCGGATGATAATCCTACGCGACTCCGCCCAATACCGAATATATTTTCTCTCAACTAGCCATCAATAATTTTGGTATTGTCGTCTCAAAATCGTAATTAGTTTACAGATCGACTGGTAGATCTACAAAATACACACTCTCGCCAAATAAAGCGCCATCTTGGATATATTCTCTGCTAGTGCCAGTCCTTTCCGACCAATGCGCGCGCAGACGTTTTTTTACTTTTTGTTTGCAGCAACTTCTATTYATTTTTTATTTCTATTTATTTATTTATTTATTTACCGCCTCCCGGTAGGCTCAGTTGGTAAGAGCGTCTGTCTGTTTTGCGGGAGGTCGTGGTTCAAGCCTCGGCCAGAMCAACACTCAGGGTCTTAAAATAACTGAGGAGAAGGTGTTGCCTTTGTAACTATATCTGCAAATGGTTAGACCTTCAAGTCTTCTCAGCCAAGGACTTAAAACCGTAGGCCCTGTCTTCCAACTTTTATTTTTGAGGCTTGTTATACTGTTGATTAAAAGAACAATACAGAAACAATAATAAAACCGGTACTGACGTAGGACGAATTACTTTGTTTGTTGAATATATAGTCCGGCAAATTTGGTACTATGATAAGACAACGACTAAAAATTTTAACACTACAAATGCGGTGCTACTGACTAGAAAAACTCTTATTATATGATATTGTAACACTAGAATATTCATCATTATTTAAATATTTAAAAATTGACGAAAATATATATAGTTAAGTCATAAGCCGATATTTTTAAAATCTATCTGATAGAACTTGTCATTTAAGACTTCACTGCGGCGATTTTTAGTACTATGATGCTATTGGCGGATCTTTTTTAAAACGTTCAATATCGGTAAATGGGCTACCCGATCCAAACATGCAATCCTCATAAAACTATGCTTGCGTGTCATGAGAAGAAATGTTTCTTGTAAAATCCTGGCCAACATCCTCGTATTCTTGTCCTGGCGCATTCTCTTTATGATGTAGTGTTTCGTATTCGGTGTTTGCTCTTGGTTTTAAGTCCATGTATTGTTCATGTCCCGTCATGCCTCGCGTGTGTGGTGTTTCACTTTTTCTAGGTCTGTTTGCAGGCTCTTGTATCGACTGGTAAACCGTATCTCTGCTTTGTCTTGGTCGTAATTCCATGTAGCCTGAAGTTTCTATTTCGTCAGCTGTTGTAGTTTGTGGTTTTCTTGAATTTTTAATGATGTCATCAGCATAGTCTGGATTGTTTATGACGTCATTCGAGACCTCTTTTTCATCTGACTTGCTCTTCATTCGTTTCTCATCGTGTTGTTTTTCTTTTCGCCGTAGCCGGTATACCAAATAAACGATACAGATGATCAGTCCAAGAATGATCAATACAAGTGGAATGACGTAAGACACAACTGTTAAGAAATCAATAGAAAACATGACTATTTGATCACGTGATGAAGGCTCTTGTGTTCAAATTTACCCATTCGTATAGCAAGAGGCCTTGGTTAATCTCCCAATTTGTTTCACAACAGATTGCAAAAAGGGCAGCCCGCGGACGGCATCTACAGAATTGGAATGTACTGCAAGACTTTCAAATAAGGTGTATTATAAAGACTTTGTCACAACGGCTGGTTACCTCCTAACTCCATCTCAATAAAAACCGATACGCAGTTCCTGTCGAAGAGGACAGGGGAGTAGAAATGYTAAATTATCTCGTTACAGCTATACGTGAAAATGATTTATACCATTAGTATCATTATACCTTCCTTTGCTTTTCTTTCACTTGCGTTAGGTTTCCGTGTAATGTATTTTTTCAATTCCACTCTGTTTATTCGGTAAACTATCGTTCTTTCACTGTTTGTAGCAGTACATACATAGATACCAAATTCCTTGTCACTTTTAAGTCTTATTATTAAATYGTCACCGTTTGCCCTCGCTTCGACGCTATCGAGCGAAGGAGTTCCTCTTTTAGTCCAAGAGTATTYTATTGGATCATGGCCACTTGTATAACAGCCAAGAGTGACCTCGTCGCCTTCTRAAACCCAGATAGTCGAATTGGAATATTCCGGTGGATCTGAAAGTATGACCATATCGGATATAATATAAATACGCATGGAGTCGCATTCAATGAAGTACCCGTTTATGCATGCTTGCCTCTATTGATGGATTGCAAGCATTCCCAAAAGAGTTAAAAGACAAAAGCATGGCGGCCATGTTGGTGCCGTTAACAATGGATGCTAAGAAGAAATATTTTGTTAAATGGCACCAACATGGCCGCGATGACGTAACGTGCAATCGAAGAATACATATATCATGTATTTAGTGTTTATAATTTCTCTTCATTTCTGTTCTTATCATATTTTCTATAATCCCCTATAATCATATAATTACTCACTAAGTAATTATTACATTTGTATTTACAAACGGCATATTTGCATCTTCTTACGGTTAAATAGTTATATTTTCCACCACATTTCTCAACTTATATTTACCTTTTTTAATTAAGACTCCCAACTCGAAAGCTTTCAATTTCCTCAGAATTCGGGAGTCGTCCACAACCTTTTATTATTCTCTTCKTTTTTCCTACTCAAACCATTTATCTATCATTGTAATTATACTTGTTTACTTTGTAATTCATAATTTTCTCAGAAACTTTTAATCAGCGGAAAAATATATTCAACCTTGAAAATATAATGCAAATTTACAAGAACAAAGTAACTTTAATGAGGAATTTAATGTGTTTAGTTTTTGCTTGGTTTTTT